CTAGAAACATTCAGATTTAAGGTGGGTTCATGCAAAGTGTTTTAGTTCTAGTCATAGCCATAGTCATAAGCGTTTGCTTTAGCTGTAGTTATAAGGAGAGGGATTGGTTCATGCAATATTTAAGCACAGCACATTAAAGGAAAATTTTGACACAAAAACAGCCGTGCCACAACTCATACCAAATTAAAAAAAAAAGGAATCGGGAGTGAAACTGTTTTGTTTATTATGAAAAAAAGAAAATTGTTGTCGCTGATAGTGTAATGTGTTTGAATGCAGCTCTATTAATCGCACAAAGATTAAGAAATAAAAGACGACAGCGTTTTGGCAGAAGACCAATCAATAAAAATAGAGAATTAGAGGAATATTATGCTACTCTGATTAGAAACATGTTGGAAAAACAGGAAGACGATTTGCAATTTTTTAAATGTTACCAAAAACATCGGGAAGTGAGTTCTTCAATTATAAACATACCTTCAGCATTGTTTTAATGGCATGTGTAGATGCGGATTATAATTTCATTATAGCAGATATTGGAGCTAGTGGAAGAAATGATGACAGCACTATCTTTAAAGAATCTTCTTTCGGGCATAGATATCCTTTTTCCAAAGAAATTGCCTAGAAGCAACATTATACTTCTATATTTTGTTGTGGGTGATGCTGCGTTTCCTCTAAGAGAAAATATAATGAGACTGCTATATAATGAGAATACTGTCCGGGATATGGACAGCAATTAGGACTAGAAAAAAACATTTTCAACTATCGTTTATCCAGGGCAAGGAGGATCGTTGAAAATGCCTTTGGTATACTTTGCCAGTGGTGGCGAATTCTACGGAGGCCAATCATAGCTAGGGTAGACATAGTAGAAAATATTGTAAAAGCCACAGTAGTTTTACATCACTTCCTTCGTATTGAACGGCAAAGCGAATGGTACTGTCCTCCAGGATATGGTGATACTATTCAGAGTCAGGGGAAATTATAAATGGTCAGTGCGACCAATGCCACTGCATAATATAGGACGGGTTGGAAGCAACAATGCGGCAAAAAGGTTCCAGAAGAACAGAATCTTGTTGTGTGAATATTTTAACGGTATTGGAAGTGTAACATGGAAATAAGACCATGTATCGCGCGTTAGACCTTAATTTTTTTGTATTAATAAAATATTGATAAATAATGTTTTTGTGTTTAATTTCAAAACAAAAGATAAATAAAAATAACTCTATTAATTTTGAGTCAATTTGGTCCGCATTTGACTCTATTGAAATAATTGTCGAAACAATAACGCACAACAATCTTAGTACAATAAAATACAAAACCTAACTGACCTAACCTCAATTTATAAAATAAAACAAAACACTGCTATATTAAGGACACAAAAGAGAAAAGTGCGCATGCGTCACGTTACGACCGATTGTTTTAGCTTTAAGAAGTTAAAAGTCGGGCAACTCTTGGGACTAGGACAAAAACCATTTTAGTCGTAAGGTGTTGCATGAACAGTACTAGTATAACACAATACCTTAACTTTCCACTCTTACGACTATGCCAACAACTACGACTAAAACACATTGCATGAACCCACCTTTAACATGTAGAAGTAACACTATACCTAGAACTAGAATCATTCGGGTTTAGCCGCACGTCTCTCAAGACGGCTAAACCCGAATGATTCTAGTTCTAGGTATAGTGTTAGTTCTAGTTTTACACTAGCACTGTTACTATGTAGAACTAACACTATACCTAGAACTAGAAACATTCAGGTTTAGCCGCACGTCTCTAAAGACGGCTAAACCCGAATGATTCTAGTTCTAGGTATAGTGTTAGTTTTAGTTTTACACTTGCTTTGTCCCTAGAACTAACATTAGAACCAGAAACATTTGGGTTTAGCCGTACGTCTCTTAAGACGGCTAAACCCGAATGATTCTAGTTATTAGTCTTATTAGCACTGTTACTATGTAGAACACTATGTAGGAACTATGTAGTTACTAGGTATAGTGTTAGTTTTACACTAGCACTGTTACTATGTAGAACACTATACCTAAAACTAGAAACATTCGGGTTTAGCCGCACGTCACTAAAGACGGCTAAACCCGAATTTTTGTCCGAACAAATTCTTGAAAACACATTTTCGAGCCATTTTATCTTTTATTGTTACCGCCCGAAAAAGCTTTTAGATTATTTGACAACTTAACTTAGCTTAATTTTATTCTGTAATCGATTAAGAATTTTGTTAGGTTTAAATTTTTATTGTTCAAAACGGTTGTTTATATTAATTAATATTTATTAAATCTATTATTATTATTATGCAATCCATAATTAGTTGTATTTGTATTGTTTAAAATTGAATTATTTGTTGTGTATAATAATAATTTTCAAATATCAAGGTTTATTATAAACTTTTATAATAACAGAGATAAAATAAAAATTTTAATATGAAAACTGTTTTTTAAAAACAGATTACAATGGATTTCAATATTTCAACGGGTATTTGTTGTCACGCCAAATGGCATTTTCCGACGATTTTCACAAAAGCTTTTCGACAATGTTGATATTTGAATCGGAAAATTAAATACTCTATTACTACTTTGTGTAATTGTCGCGGAATTGTGTCTATCGACGTTTTATAATAATGTAGAACAAAACAACCAGCGGATTATTACCAATTTCGGATCCAGAGAATATTTACCCTAAATTACATTTTATAGTATACGGTATTGTAATGGTTGAAAGAAAATATGAATTTAGAGGTAAACACAGTCGATCGAGTTCGAAAATTGGTTAATACATTATAAAAGAACATGCTGAAACAGAAGTGTTCAATTCTATGAAAGTATCGGAAAGCAATTTAATTTAATATTTAATTACCTTGTACATCCAAGCAACCTTGTTGCGATCTAATGTTGCTCGTGTTGATCTGACACATGTAACAGCCGCGGTCAGACTCCTTGATTGATTTAATACGTAACTGCCACGTCCGGTTATTATCCTGGGTCACGCTGATCCTCGAATTGTGTGTAACCACCTTGGTCTCGACGGACAGCACCGTTTGATCTTCCGCCCTGACCCACGCCACCTGAAATTGCACAGGGAGAACCCTCTTGAAAGCTCTAATTGGACTTTACCCCTCCAAAGGGATTTGCTAACCTAAAGAATTCGCAACCCATTAAAGATTTCTAATCTATTTCTCAATTAGCTAAACCATTTTCTTTAATTTTATCAATTGTATTATTTATAATAACACCTTGTTGGATTTATTATGGGTTGAAATTCAATTTATGATGTTGTAACGAAAATAATTTTGAAAAAGTTAAAATTTGTACACTTATTGGTGTAATCTATTTATTTATTTATTTACTCTCGACCGTCTTCGATTAGCACCTATTAGAGAACTACAATTAACAAAATTATGTACTACTATAAAATTAATTTTTAGGTAATTTATTTCAAAATATGTTAAATGTATAATCTGTTTTTTATTTAAATCAATTGTCAAAGTGTCGTCAAGTTGGTATTGAAAGTAAAAGCGCATGTCGTGACTTTTACTTTAATTGTGTGCCACCACTGTCTATCAAATTTGTTAAGATTGATTAAAAAACAATTTTCATATAATTTTTTTGCTGCTAAATCTACCATAAAAATGTTAAGAAAGGGTGGAACGGGATGTCAACTGTCTAAACGCGAAAAAAACTCTATAATTAGGTATTGTGAAGAAGTACAGACGGAGACACCAAATACGAATTTAAAATATATATGTGATAAAGCTTCACGTATTTTTGATGTATGTGTATTGCACTTGAGTTTTAAAATTAAATTTATATTCAACATAATTGTATTAGGTTCACAGCACGACGGTTTTTAAAATTATTCAAACCTACAAAAAATATCAAACTGTAAAAAAACCAAAAACACAAGGGCGTTGTAAAATGAACTACAAAACGGATAATAATTTATATTTTATTAAAGAAGAGTTAGGAAGACAAATACAAAAATTGCATGAAAAGAAACAGTATTTTAATCTTAATGATTTACTTAATTTTGCAAGAAATGAATGTGATTTTACTAATGGTAGATCAAAATTACATAAAATTATAAAATCTATGGGATATAGATATAAAAAGATTAGCAATAGAAAAGTGTTAATTGAACAACCACATATAGTTTCAAAAAGAATTACATTTTTAAAGACATACTTGCAATACCTAGAATCCGGAGAGTATACTTTTGTTTTTCTTGACGAAACTTGGATTTACGAAAATGGCACCCAAGTTTATCAATGGGTAAATGAAAATGAAAGATTCGGTATTCCGCAAAGAGCAGAAGGCGAAGGAAAAAGATTTACAATCTTGCACGCAGGCACTTCGTCAGGGTTTTTGCCAAATTGCGATCTCTTGCTCAGTGACAACACGGAGCACAGAGATTATCATAAAAATATGACGTCAATTATTTTTATGGAATGGGTGAAAAATCAATTACTTCCAGCATTAAATAATTTGGGTGCGAAGTGTGCGGTAGTAATGGATAATGCTCCATATCACTCAAAACAAATCGAGAAAGCTCCAAGTTTCTGCACAAAAAAAAATGATATGAAAAAATGGTTAACTGAACATAATATACAGTTTGAACCAACCTTAAATAAAAAATCGTTATGGGAAATAATCCGTTATTACAAGCCTCAAATTGAAAAATCCTTTGAAATTGACAAATTAATAAGAGACCATGGCCATACTGTTCTTCGCCTTCCTCCATACAATTGCCAATATAATCCCATTGAACTATGTTGGGCGTTCTTAAAAACTTATTACAATAAACATGTTCAGTCCAGCTCGGAGAAAAAGATCTGTCGTGTCAAGGAGACTTGGCAAAAAGCTCTTGGTCATTACACTCCGGAGATGTGGGCAAATAGTGTTCGCCACTGTGAAGAACTAATTAAAAAAGATTGGACAACATTAATGGGAAATTCATTAATAACTGATTTACCTCCTGTCATCATCCAACTAGCGGAAGACTCAGATTCTTCCAGTAATTCTGATTTTTAAACAATATTCAAATTTTAATTATAGCACTTAATTATGTTATCTTAATATATTGCTCACGAGTTTTAATTTCAAAACGTAGATATTAGCCAAGTGACGAGAGATTAGTGGCTTCGCCTTTAAAGTGACAATCAGTGACAACTTCGTTTAGAATATACACAACCTTACTTATTATTTAGTGGAAAATATTATAAAGCGTGGTCATAGAACATGGTATCTACAGGTACAGACCGTTTTTTTTATAAAAATTTGGCAATGACAATTGATTTAAATAAAAAACAAATATTAATACATACCGAGAATTTCATATAATTCGCAATATATGAATGCAGTAACCATAGTTACGAAACTACCATACACTTGTACTGTCCCACATAAAATGCAACATAGCTTAATAGTACAGGTTTGGTGGTCGTAGCTAGAGAGGCGGTGGAGATGAAGGAAATGACGAGGTCCCTGGAAAGATATTTTAAGGCGAAGGGGTTGGAGGTAAACGTCGAAAAAACAAAGATAATGAAGTTCTGCAAAGGGGGGAGATGAATGAAGAGGAAATGGAGGTGGCAGGGAAGAGAGATAGAGCAAGTGAAAGAGTACAGGGTGGTTCAAATTCGATGTCCGAATAGGCTAACTCGGAAACTATAAGTGTTAGAAAAAAAGTAGCTTACATGTCATGATCTCGNAAGAATTAGAACTTATATATATAATTCAGTTACTTTTTTTTGTACTTACCGTTTTTTTTTTGATCTATTGAATTAATTAGTTCTTTTTTTGTTTTTCGAATATTTATTGTTTGATCATTTTTTTTGGTTCTGAATATTAATTTTTTTGTGAGATAATTTTCACTGGCCAATTTATTTTGATTTCGGTTTTATTTTTTTTTATCACGACTTTATTTTGAGCTCAAATATACGGAGTCGTGTGGTATCAATTTATTTTTTGTGTTATTTTCATTCATTGTTATCACTAATGATATTATTTTTTTGAATTTTGTTTTCGGAACCTTACTTTATTTTTGCTTTGATTTTTGCGAAATTCAAAATTTTTTTTTGCTCTTCATTCTTTGGGTATTTTTCCAAATAAATATTATTGCAACTCAAATCTTCGACTTATTTTTATTGTTGTTGTATTTGTTGTTTTTGTCATTTGTTTATAACACTCACTTTACCAACATCACTCACAGTACGTGGACAATACGGGAGCAATTGTGTGGCGCAACAGAAATTCTAAGAAAGGGTAGAAATTCTTAAAGAAATTCTACCCAACCCAATCTCCAATTGAGCTAGGCGAGGATCCGTGTTGTGTTTGGTGTTGTAAATGTGTTGGTTGTTATATGTATATTTTTTGCCGTAATTAACGTGTTACAGACGTGCGGCTAAATCCGAATGCTTTTAGTTCTAGGTCTAATAACTATAGATGTGAATTTTTCCAAAAAAACCACTGTTTAAAAACGATGAAAGATATTTTATTCAATTATTAAATCGGTGTTACGTTACGTTTTAACCAATAAGTTGGTCTTCTTCACGTCTAAAAGGTTTTATAAATTAATTACACATAATTAAAACAAAATTACATATTAAATATTTACCGTCTTAAGATGTAGAAAATGGAGGATATGATCTATATAAACTTAACATCGTAACAGCAATGAAGACAATTCGTTATTTAAGCCGGATTTATATTTGTCTGACGTGTTGTGTCGTGATGCGCTGTGACGTAATGGTTAGTGTTCACATTTATATGTTGTGTTCTGACGCACTCTGGCGATATTTTGAATCAATACAATCGTAGCACTCAGAGAGTTCATACGTGAGTCTATAATGTTTTCCTATGAATCTTCTGATTCAAATTATGAAGAAGATATTCATTTTATGGTACTGGCAACTTTTCAAAGAAAGAAAAAGAGAGAAGATATTGGGTTCATCCAGTGAACAGAAAGAGAGAGGCTAAAGGCGAATTTCACGGCCTGGTTAAAGAGCTTGAGAGCGATGCTGATAATGTTAAATGTAATTAAATTTAATATCGAAAGAAAGAAGAAACGCAAATCTGACGAGTCATAAGACAGGTGTACACTTGTCTGATCTGTCGTTATGCGTCAGTTCCCACTCTACTGCTCTGACGGGCATCGGGATCGCTGCTGATGCGACACAACACAAGGCACCACAACACATTGCGATACAGAAATATAAATCTCACCATAGTAAATGTATTCAACCGATACCGTTCTGACGAGTCACAACACGACACGTCAGACAAATATAAATCCGGCTTTAGACGTACATAATTTTTGTTGAAGTTTAAAATTTACATGTGGGTCGAATGTTGGTCCAGTGACAATGATAGGTAGCGCTAGTTAGCATAAGATATCACTATATTGGATACTTTTATTGCACTAAAACTAGAACTAACACTAGACCTAGAACTACAGCCATTCAGACGCACGGCTAAACCCGATGTTTTCTAGTTCTAAGTCTAGTGTTAGTTTTAGTTTTACACTAGCACTATCACTAGAACTAACACAAGACCTACCCAACCCAACCCAACCCGATATTTTCTAGTTCGAGGTCTAGTGTTAGTTCTAGTTTTGCACTAGCACTATCACTAGAACTAACACGAGATCTAGAACTAGAACCATTCGGGTTTAGCCGTCTCGAGAGACGTGCGGCTAAATCCGAATGTTTCTAGTTCTAGGTCTAATGTTAGTTCTAGTGACAATGGTAGGTAGCGCTATTAGCTTAAGATATCACTATGTTGTATACATTTATTGCACTAAAACTAGAACTAACACTAGACCTAGAACTAGAGACATTCAGACGCACGGCTAAACCCGATGTTTTCTAGTTCTAGGTCTAGTGTTAGTTTTAGTTTTACAGTAGCACTATCACTAGAACTAACACAAGACCNATTTATATTTGTTTTACACAAAAGTTGGAATAGATTGCATTATTTCACAATTTTTATTAATATTTAATATTATTAATAAATGACTTAATAAATTATTGATAGATGGCGCTCATATATTTTTTATTTAATTCAAATAAACATAGCAACATTTATTTGTATTCAAAAATTTTCTGAAGTGTCAAATTAAAAATCCTGTTTTTTAAGATGGATTACGAAAATAACGAAAAATGTTACATGTTAGAATGTTACATATTAGAAAATAAAATAAATTTTATATTAATTTTTAGTCATAGTACCGTAATTTACAGGAAACTGTAAATTTAAATTCTTTCACGACACTAAAAAAAAGTTTATTTTTAGCTTTATTCTAAAAAGATAGAAATAGACCCCATATTTTTGTAATCAGAAAAAAATAACGAATTTAATAAGCGAATAATCAGTGGTTATTTCCATTTAAAAAAACAAAAATTGTCATAATATCTCAAAATCTAATACCGAAATTTTTTTTTGACTACTTCATCAAATTCTCTGTAAAAAAGTGTTCATATAATGTCCTAGTTATAATAGTACACCTATAATAATAACCAAGATAATTGCACTTCCTGGTTTTACGATATTTTCAATTTTGGCCTCTAGGGGAAAAACAAAAGACGATAGCGCTTTGAGGTTTTTGGCATTAGCAGTTTCTCGAAAAACGAAATCATGATATGTAAGCTACTTTTTTTCTAACTCTTATAGTTTCCAAGATAGCCTATTCGGACATCGAATTTGAACCACCCTGTACATGTACCTGGAAAGTAATAAGGTCGGGGCACAAGTCAGGGCGATGGCAAAAAGAGCGAACAGGGTGATGGGATAGGTTTTGGGATGGGGGGAAAGAACTTTTGGGAGGGACGTGGAAAAAGAAAGGTTATGTTTGATGGCTTGGTAAGGAGCACAATGATGTACGGCGCAGAAGTATGGGGATGGAGAGAACAAGGAATACTGGAGGATATACAAACACAGTGTTGGAGATGGGTACTAGGGTTGGCAAGGGAGACTCCACGGTATGTAATGAGGGAGGAGGTTAAGGTGGATGCAGTACGGGTGGAGGCTGGGAGAAGAGCAGTGAAGTATGAGGAAATGATAGAAGCAAGACCGCATTGCAGGATCCGGGAGAGTGCTGGAGGGAAATTAAGGAGAGGAGGCTGATCTATGGGCAAAGAGACAGCGAAGAATATTATAGAAGAGTGGGAAGAGGTGAAATGTGAGGCAGAAAAGAAGGTCACAGATACGACAAGGGAGATATAATGAGAGGTATGGGGAGATAGTGACAGAGGAACTGCCAAAGTATTTGTTGATGGAGGGGGATGATGAAGGGAAGAGATTGGTGGCCAGATTCCGCTGTGGCAATGAGCAGAGGGGGAATAGGTACTGGGCGGACGATGTGGAGAGGTGGTGTAGGCTGTGTGGAGAGTATTGGGAGACGCTGGAATACATGCTAAGAGGGTGAGTCAGAAAGAATGGGAAATCCGAATACCGGAGATACTAGACACCAAAATATGATGAGTGTTAGTTCTAGTTTTACACTAGCACTGTTACTATGTAGAACTAACACTATACCTAGAACTAGAATCATTAGGGTTTAGCCGCACGTCTCTAAAGACGGCTAAACCCGAATGATTCTAGTTCTAGGTATAGTATTAGTTGTAGCTTTACATTTGCATTGTCACTAGAACTAACATTAGACCTAGAATTAGAAACATTTGGGTTTAGCCATACATCTTCTGAAGATACACGGCTAAATCCGAACGTTTCTATAATATTTAGAACATTTTATGCTAACTAGCGCTATCTACCACCTACCAGTCGTCTTAAGAAAGGTACGGCTAAACGGAATGTTTCTAGTTCTAGGTCTAGTGTTAGTTCTAGTGCTAGTATTAGTCTAGTTTTATTTGTTACTCAGCGCTAGTTTTATATTTTTATTGAGCTGTAACGGACACTGCGATCAATACGGGTAATCTGTTATATCGAGGTTTTACTGTAATAACAAATTATATTGAAATTTTGCCTTTTATGTGGGACAAAGTAAGTAGGTACGCCCTGGTTTCTATAGAAATATATATTTGTATATTGCATCTAAAATAAAATTGACTGTATAGAAACATGTACAAACACGCCTTTAAAGATGTAAATTGAACCAACTAAAAGTTTCAAGTAATTACAACAAAAATTTCCTGTTGTTTTTAACGCTCCAATGTGTCCAATTTCCGTTAGGTCGTTTTTTTGTTGTTATAGACCTCGAAAACCCTCGCGGCCGGGTTTCTTTAATTCAGTGTAAATAAAATTTCAGCCGGGGTCGAGGGCATGACCGAAGGGATTTTATTACCACCGAATACGCCTTACCTTGTGTCGGCCCAGATTGTCGACGGTGCACGTTAGGTGGGCTTCTCTGCCGGCCGAGACGGTTAAATTATGCATCGACGACGTGAAGTACGGGTCGAAAGGGTTGTAGCCGGTTCTCGACTCTGTAAAGTGAGTGGTAAAAATAAGATGAACCCTTTCCCCACCTACCTGAGACTAATAAAATTTTCAATTGGTTAAGTTAAACTTGTATTTCAACTCGTAAATTATTCATGTAAAATCTCTCGGTGTTGGTCACTCTGGTTTATTAACATTTATAAATTATTTCAATAAAGAATATCATAACAAATGTTATTTAATAAATGGTGGAGGCGCCGGTTAAATTGCACATAAAACATAGTTCATAGCCATATTTACGCAAATAAGTAAAAATTCTGGTTCAATATTGTATATTTCGAAGCATTAGTGCCCACAACTTTGTTTCTCAAACACTATGCAGTAGCGTAGCTTGTTTGAAAGTTGGTGGAACCAATAAATGAGACGAAGCTTAACGCCCAAACGGGCAAGATGTCGCCTTCCACGTTTAAAGCCCGTTAAACTAAAACTTTCCGCTCGAAATATTCACGCGTTTTTGCGGCCAACAAAAACGCGAAAAAGAAAAACGGCTTAAAAGAAAACGGTATTCGCTTATAGTGCAGGTGACGACGGTGAAACTTTGGAGACTGTAAAACGCTAGAATACGTTCGGTATTTTTAGCGGCACGTTTACGATTTCCCGAGAGATGCATAAAGTCAAACATCGTCGATTTGAACGTTTATATAAAGCAAACAAGTTTACCTACTCGGATATGGAATCGTCAAGTATAAAGGTTGATGTAATAAAATACGAAAAACTAAAAATGTAATCATAATCATAAATAACAAGATTTTTAATAACTCCGTAAAAAATAACAGTACCGAAACTCCGTCTTGAGAGACGTGTAACGGTCTGATTTTGTTGTAGGTTTTTTTTTAATGTATTGTTTTGGTGTAAATTTGTTTTGTGTTGTCAAAGAAGGAAGATTTTGGGTTGCATAATACGCGTAACGTAATATGTTTATTTATTTTTATTGTTTATTAATACATTTGTTTGTATTTTTTTTAGCAGCGTACTTCTAGAACTTCCTTAATTTTCCATTTTTATAGTCCTCTTATTAATTATTATAGTCCTCTAATTTCAATTTTGTTTCCTATTTTCTTTTTATTTCTTTTATTTAAATTTTGTTTATGCGCAAGTCTTCAGAGACGATTCTCGCTCTCTTTAAAACCAGCTTTGACAAGTGCCACACCTGTGAGGTTCGGAAATTTTTGGTGATAGTCATTTTGGTAATCTAAAATTATTTGGTTTGAAATTTCCATTTTCCTTATTTAGAGGTTTTATCACTTGTGTGCGAAATAATTTGGGAAGTGATTATTTCAAAACTCACATTCTCCATTTTCTTAAGATATGGAGTTAAATATATCACCGTGTTGGTCTTGTTAAAGCGAATCAAATTCTGATAGCAGTTTACAGCAAANTTCCTTAATTTTCCATTTTTATAGTCCTCTTATTAATTATTATAGTCCTCTAATTTCAATTTTGTTTCCTATTTTCTTTTTATTTCTTTTATTTAAATTTTGTTTATGCGCAAGTCTTCAGAGACGATTCTCGCTCTCTTTAAAACCAGCTTTGATAAGTGCCACACCTGTGAGGTTCGGAAATTTTTGGTGATGGCCATTTTGGTAATCTAAAATTATTTGGTTTGAAATTTCCATTTTCCTTATTTGGAGGTTTTATCACTTGTGTGCGAAATAATTTGGGAAGTGATTATTTCATTCCTATTTACGGTTTATCCGGATTTTCTTCGTATCATATGAGTGGTGTAGATGTAAAACTCACATTCTCCATTTTCTTAAGATATGGAGTTAAATATATCACCGTGTTGGTCTTGTTAAAGCGAATCAAATTCTGATAGCAGCTTACAGCAAAACTTACAGTTTAACACCACAAAACTATAGTGAAAATCGCGTTTTGAAACAAAAGTCACATTATTCAACAGTTGTTCTGCTACAAAATTAACATTCTCCATTCCAACCAGTCACAGACCGTGTAGCAAAAACAAGTAGGCGTCTTTGCCCTCTGTTTATGTTTTCGTCGACCTCACAATTTAAATTAACCTGTTGCATTATTATTACACAAAGTTATATAGTGCATAATGAATGAACTAGTGCAACCATCAACCGGATTAACAAGAAAAAAGAAAAAGGCTCCTGAGAAGTGGAAACGAAACGAAACCAAATTAGCAAGGTTAGCATTATAGTCGAAGGCTAGTTCAATGTTTTATACTCGGCTCTTTCTTTCTTTTTTAGGTACTCAGCAAACAGTTTACCAGCATTTCCTATTACCACCGAATACGCCTTACCTTGTGTCGGCCCAGATTGTCGACGGTGCACGTTAGGTGGGCTTCTCTGCCGGCCGAGACGGTTAAATTATGCATCGACGACGTGAAGTACGGGTCGAAAGGGTTGTAGCCGGTTCTCGACTCTGTAAAGTGAGTGGTAAAAATAAGATGAACCCTTTCCCCACCTACCTGAGACTAATAAAATTTTCAATTGGTTAAGTTAAACTTGTATTTCAACTCGTAAATTATTCATGTAAAATCTCTCGGTGTTGGTCACTCTGGTTTATTAACATTTATAAATTATTTCAATAAAGAATATCATAACAAATGTTATTTAATAAATGGTGGAGGCGCCGGTTAAATTGCACATAAAACATAGTTCATAGCCATATTTACGCAAATAAGTAAAAATTCTGGTTCAATATTGTATATTTCGAAGCATTAGTGCCCACAACTTTGTTTCTCAAACACTATGCAGTAGCGTAGCTTGTTTGAAAGTTGGTGGAACCAATAAATGAGACGAAGCTTAACGCCCAAACGGGCAAGATGTCGCCTTCCACGTTTAAAGCCCGTTAAACTAAAACTTTCCGCTCGAAATATTCACGCGTTTTTGCGGCCAACAAAAACGCGAAAAAGAAAAACGGCTTAAAAGAAAACGGTATTCGCTTATAGTGCAGGTGACGACGGTGAAACTTTGGAGACTGTAAAACGCTAGAATACGTTCGGTATTTTTAGCGGCACGTTTACGATTTCCCGAGAGATGCATAAAGTCAAACATCGTCGATTTGAACGTTTATATAAAGCAAACAAGTTTACCTACTCGGATATGGAATCGTCAAGTATAAAGGTTGATGTAATAAAATACGAAAAACTAAAAATGTAATCATAATCATAAATAACAAGATTTTTAATAACTCCGTAAAAAATAACAGTTCCGAAACGAACGTTTGAGTCATAAATTAAACGATAAAAATAATAAAAAAAAAACAAGCGAAGTTTTATGCTGAACGATTCGAATTGGTAACGGAGAAGAGGATATTTTCAATTGGACGTTGGGAAAGGCTCTTACATAAAGGGGAGTTTGGTTAACGGCAGGAAATGAAAGATCGTTTGCGGCGCCTTTGTCCGCGATGGATCGTATTGTTTCGGCTCTGGAGGTGTTGCGTTCGACCGCGGTTTTGTGCAGTTTTCGTATCGATCGGGGTAGAGGGCGCAAATTGGTGAAACAAGCGTAAAAATACGCGTGTACCTCATTCCGTACTAGTACTAGCATTCCTCAGTAACATAAAAAAATTTGTTTAACATTATCATCTAATAATCAAATACAGTATCGTATGATATTGCATAATGTAGATTGTGTTATCACATAGTCGGGGATTTCCGGTAGACGAGATCTAAGCAAATCAAACCACGTAGTACGACTACGATGTGGGAATTCCAGCTGATGACAACCAGAATTCTATACTACGTAATGTTGTTGATGTAAACCTTCAAGTTAAACCAATATTATTAGTAGCAACACAGTGTGGTCTTAATATTGTACTTCTTTAGTAGTTTTGTTAGGAAAAGAAATATTAGAACAATAACATTAATCAAAGGTATATCTTGAAACTAAGATAAACCTTGTAGAAGTGTTCCAGTTGCGAGAATACCATCTACACAAATGCATTTATTTCCTTCCATTATAAACCGTGAAGAAAATCCCGGTAAAAGCGTCGGGAAGGCGTCGCAAACGGTGCCGTAACTCGCTGTCAACGATCGTGCAAGAAACGCAACTTCTCAACCGTCCGCCGTCGCCGCAAAATTACATACAACCGTATTTACTTCCGGCGGCGTATAAAACGTAAAAAGCCTTGCGGTTGGGGCTGCCGTATTTTAAATTTATGAGACGTAACTGAAATTACAACGCGAGGTTTCGCTCCGTATACGTCGTTATGGGAACCCGGAGAACACGTGTATACGCGGTGTATGGTTTGTGGGCGCGACACCGTCGACGCCCTCCGGGGCCCTCACGACTACGTTTCGGGTTTATTCAATATGAACACGACAAAATAACCTGCGCAACTCACCCCCACGTCCCTCTTTTCGTGTCTCACCGGTCACGTTATGTGACACGCTAGGTGGTAAATGTAATAACGTTTAACGTTTCACAACAAAATTTATTTTGTCTTTATTTATTTAATTTAAGACACCAAATTTATTAAATCAAGATTTATAAACTTAAAATTGAAAATTATTATTACAATTTTGATGTGAGTGTATATGTCGCAGGCATGGTTGTTTCAGGTAAATAGCTTTTTCGTAGTCAGATACTATCTGCCTAGGCAAATAGTTTTATTCCATTTATTTCTGTCTAAATTCTACTTTCCTAGGCAAATAGCTCTTTAAACCAACCCAACCCCAAGAATGCTTTATTTCTTTAAGAGAGGCCTGCACTTCACAGTCCCTGTTTTCTGGGCAAGAGATGTCAAAATGTCAGTGCTAGCCTTCGAAATTTCAGTGCAATACAAAAAGGTGTACTTGTTTCAAAAATAAGATGATCTGCAATAGTAGATGCCATTCCAACAACAATTGTCAAAATAAGTAGGTAAATTTTTGTATTTAGTATCTAAGTCTTCACGAAATAAATCGTTTATTTGTATTTTTATTAAACTTAATAAAAGTATATTAAACTTGAAAATGATCGCAAATTTAAGAAAAGTAGGTTGATAACGATAGGAACTACTTTATTTTATTGTGAACATTTACCTACTTTATATTGCATTGTTGTATCGAAAAAATGGTGTTTGCCTAAAACAAGCTTAAACAGATACTATTTGTCTTGTCCAATAGTCTTTGTCTAGACATTTAATGATAAAACTGTAACAAACTACTGTTTGCTTAGGCAGACAGTATCTGACTAGGAAAATGCTATCTACCTGAAATAAGTATTTGCCTGCGACAGAGGTGGTGGAGTTCTGCTTGCTGTAGCTAGTCATCATGATGTTGAGCTGGTTGATTCTATAGACATTCAGGCTTTAGTACCACTTGTCGATGTGTTGATTTGCAAGTGCTCTTTATGGTCTGTGACCTTATATATCGTGGTGTTGTACATACCTCCTGATAATCCGCAACCTGATTTACTATGTTTCTTGGACGCCCTAGAACATAAAGTTTTGAATTATCCTGTCCTTATCCTTGGTNAGTCACATTATCCAACAGTTGTTCTGCTACAAAATTCACATTCTCCATTCCAACCAGTCACAGACCGTGTAGCAAAAACAAGTAGGCGTCTTTGCCCTCTGTTTATGTTTTCGTCGACCTCACAATTTAAATTAACCTGTTGCATTATTATTACACAAACTTATATAGTGCATAATAAATGAACTAGTGCAACCATCAACCGGATTAACAAGAAAAAAGAAAAAGGCTCCTGAGATCAGCATTATAGTCCAAGGCTAGTTCAACGTTTTATACTCGGCTCTTTCTTTCTTTTTTAGCTACTCAGCAAACAGTTTACCAGCATTTCCATCTTGCAACCACAACGGCGGAAAATTTCAGTGCTTAAGTGTCCCTACAAGATATAAGGAGATTTCATCAGAATTTCTACTTTCAAAAAGAAAAGATTTGCCAAGACAACTTTATTTTAAAGTTTACTTCATCAGTTGATATTAAGAGAAGGAGATCAACTTCCAAATACCAAATACCAAATACTTTATAGGCTCTAAAAACAAATCAATGATACCAGTATGTCTTAATACATTCTTAGGTGTTCTAAAAGTTTCAAGATTTCGAGTGAATGGTANGAGATCAACTTCTGGACGCTACAAAAAGCAGTCCTTAAGAACCAAATACTTTATAGGCTCTAAAAACAAATCAATGATACCAGTATGTCTTAATACATTCTTAGGTGTTCTAAAAGTTTCAAGATTTCGAGTGAATGGTATTTTAAATCGTTTTAGACAAACAGGTCAGCTTTCTAAAGAAAACAGAGGGGGTGACAGGATTTCAAATAGATATATACCTAAGAAAGAGAATGTTATGCGTTTTATAAACACATTCAAATGTTCAGAGCCTCACTATTGCGCCAAACATACAGGTAGAAAATACCTTTCTGCTCAGGTAAATGTTAAAAAAATGTGGAAACAGTATAATAGTTTGCTCACAGAGGATCAGAGTGATTTAAAAGTAACACAATGGTACTTCAGAACTATTTTTAACACGGAGTACAATGTTGGATTTGGTTCAGCAAGAGTTGACGTTTGCTCTACCTGTCTACAGCTAGATGAACAAATAAAACATACCTACTCCAACATTGAGGACAGACAGAAGCTTATGGTTGAAAAACGTATTCATAAATTGCGTGCTAAAGCTTTTTATGCAGCATTAAACAACACCGACCCTAATGTTTTTATGTTAAGCTACGACTGTCAAAAGAACTTACCATTACCAAAATTGCCTGACCAAGCCACGTACTACAGTAGGCAAATATATTTGAACAACTTTACTGTAGTTAAGGGAAATTCGA